TGTTAACTATTGTCCATTACATACGATCAACGTTCGATACAATAGAAAAATCGAAAACAAATTAAACAAATTTCAAAATGTTGTAGAAACGTAATTACCGAATTAAAATAAATGTTTGGTATCTTCAATTTTTTAAAAAAATATTAATAAAAGTTCGATTATTTTTAATTTTGAAAAATAATATAAAATACATATTAGATATAGACCTATAGTGTAAAAATAGATTAAAAAATATGTAAAATGTGACGTATATCATAAGTTTTATGAGTTGTGAGTTAGATGTGTTCCACTTTATATGTATAAATGTGTACTGGAAACTATGTTGGATCTCGAATGTATTAGAGTTTTTTTACTATACATTTCAAAAAAGTGAGAATTTTTATGATAAGATTTTCGCAGGTTATGCAATTTATTAAGTATTATTTAGTATACAAAGAAGATATTAAAATGTCTTTATAGATGAGAGCTTTGGTAATGGTCACAAAACGTTTTATTAATTTGTTGAGTATTTGATTATTAATTCAAGAGAAAAATAATGGGGCTTAAGCTTTAAGTTTATTTCATAAGTAAAAAAAAATACTAGAATCAAACTGAATTTTATTTGATACCCAAAAAATATATTTTTGTAGGACGACATTTTATGTTAAATACTAAATTACGTTAAAAAGTTTTGGACTTTTTTTATTATATTTATACATGTAATCAATAAAAACGCTGTCAACAAACTTTATGGGGAGTTTTGAACTTTTCAAACGAGCTTGTACGACATGAACGGCAAATGTCGATAACCAATATTTTTAACCATAGCAGACAACATTTTACACTTAAAGTTACGTCTTTAGTTTTACGTTAACCGATTAGTCTTCTTTCAAATATCATTACACAATAGCCTTTTAGTCTTGACCACTAAACGAATAAAAAAAAAAAAAAATACCGAATATAGTGATGCCCATACGGTGACTAATCGAATATCCTGAAATGACGCTGACAGATGAGAAAACTTTTATGAACATATTTTTTTTAGTGGGCTAAACGAATGTAGTTTGGGTGGAGCTGATGTATTTTTCTGTCTAACAAGTCAAATACTCGGGTGTAATATATTATGGCGAATTTAATTTTCGACAACAGATGTCGTATGAAGTCGTTTACAATGCGCATTACATTTTATCTCATTAAGTCATTTTGGAAAGTTATACGCAAACCAACATTCATGTCATGTGACTTGCGATAATATTAATTACTTATTATTATTCGCTCAATAAGTAACGTAAAGACACGTCTGATTGGATTCGAAGTTATTTTATAATTCGTTGTTAAGTCTTTAAGTGTAATTGACAATGCAAACACGATTCAATGTTAAAAAAATTAAATCGTGTATCAAAATATTAAAAACGAATCTATCACGTCTCCACTTAACAATTTTTATTTGCATTACTAAAGATATAGAACTATCCGATATTTTTTTTTTGCTTAAGTTACCAGCGAATGCATATTACATTAGGTGCTTTTATATCGATATAAAATATCGAGTATTTTGATAATCATTTTCCTCGCGAATACATTGGAACAATAACAATTTAATGATGATCGAAAAGCAAAAGAAAGATAGAAGAATATGAACATGTAGGACGTTCTAACTTTAGCCACGGAAAATTGTTATCGAGTTAAAAGAGATAAAATTACTTAAAACTAAAAGTATATCTTACATATTTTTCACATAGAAATAATCCTCATGTGCAAACATATCTCATCGTCATTGCAGACCGAACGAGTTCAATGAGTGTGCTTCCGATACACGATGTCATGTTTCAAGGCTATAGTGGATGAGTAATTGCGTTCGTTCCACACATCCTGAGATCCACTTACATTTAAAATTTTAGAATATTCTAAACATCCTGTAGAACGCTGAAGAAGTTATTAATGTGGTTTACAGAAGACAACAAAGCCCGACGCCGAGTCTCCTTCATTCAATACACAGTATATCAGCCATATTTATTTTGATAAATTTTGTAAGGAACTTTCACGATTATTTCTAATCTGACTTCAGATTTGTCCGATAAAAATTGAAAAACTATTATATTTTTTATAATTTGATGATAAAAAAAAAAAATACTGCGCAAATTTGGAACTTATTTGTCAATTTTAACTGTATCTATAGATCTCTAATGAAATTTGACTTTGATGGTTTTTCAGAAAATATAGATGAATTTTCTCCATAATCGTTATTTTTTGATTAATCACATAACTATGAATTTGCTACCAATAGATAGATATTTTTGTAAGAAATTAAAAAATAGTACTTTTTGTTTTTAATTTGACAAATAACTGTAAAAAAGCAATTACGAATAAGAATATATGCTAACTGAAAAACTCGGAAAAATTTCAATTTTTTTTTATTTAATATTTTTTAGTATAGGTTGATGCTTAACATAGTGATTTAATTTGATTTGATCTATGATACTTAGTTGCTTAGTTATTAAAAAAAAGCGCAGAGATAATAATTTTTTCCAAGAGCAAAAGAAGTCGACTAGTTCATGTACTTGGTGGATAGTTGAGTGTTTCGCACAAAAACGAAATTAATAATCAGGTAGAACTTTATTTTTATTAGTTAAAGAGTATGTATGTAAATATGAGTATTTCTAGAACTTAAGCGAAAAATGGTAATATACTATTTGGTTTATATTATGTTAATGAACCAAGGGGCTTATTTGGTTTTGGAACTAGAAAAATTTAAGAGAACTTCCATTGGAGTGAGAAGTAAGAAAGACTCAGTATGGCATTAAATATATGGGTTAATAAGATGATTGCTCGTTTAGGTTGACATCTAGCTATTTCAGCTGTATTTATATCAAAACCTGGAGATTTCTTTAGAGAATATTTTTTATGGTAGATTTAATATTTTTCGATGTACAATGTTTAACCGGAAGAGTAAATGATAATGGAAAGTGGTGATATCTAAGAACTGCATTTATATTGTAAAGTGTAATATTTTGGTAGGGTTGAAATGTTTTAAAAAGATAATTTTTAAATAGTTCAGCTTTATCGAATAAGCTTTATATTTTGCACAACTCTTTTTTAACATCATGAAATTGATAAACAAACATTTTTTTTGGTTTTTTTATTAATAATTTATTTGTTTAATTAATTACTAATTAGTACATTATTAAAAAATCTCTGAACACATACATATACAAAAAGTTTTAACGCATACAATGTAAGGGATAACCTGTAATAAAAATGTTATATTTGTGTACGAGTTTTATATTTTGTGTCAATATTACACAACTTGCGTGTAAAATTAATTCGTATATAAACAATATTATACTGATGTATGGAAATTTTTGCATTATTTTTTTCGGTGTAATTATCTAAAAAAGCTAGATGTGATGAAAAGAATTTAAAACCAGGATCTAATTCAGTATTGAAATTCTTTACATAAAACACCTAAATATTGTAGGAGACAGACTATTCTCCATTATTTTTTGTCCCGTGTCATTGGCATATCAATTTAATATGACATTAAATACAATCATCATACTCCAAAATACGTATTGGAGTATAACGTCATAATACGTCAAAAGTACGACGTCAATTTTGAGACGGATAAAAACGGAAGGTCGTTTGAGTGAATGTAAGAGAAGGAGCAATGTTTACTCTTGTACACTTTAAGCAGTTACTACATATTTGTTCATAGAAAGCGAAAAAATGTCGTTGACATTTAGCGGTTGAGTATTTTTGGTATGGGTCTGTATTACTCAGATAATACTTTAGGCATTATCATAATGTCACAAAGGATGTTATTCAACTAAAAGAGCTTTTACATAAATAATAAAAGGGTGCTTTGCAATGTACGTTTAAGAATAATTTCTTTTTTTTTTTCATTTACCTGACAAATATCCGTAAGGCTCTATGAAGAAGGGAAACTAGAACGTGAATAATACTTCTGTTATAAAACGTCACCCTTAAGACCAGGACAAAATTTAAATGCTATGTAAGACACTAGTGCACCACAAATATTTTAAAAGTTTAACACTTAATTCTAAGAAATAAAGTTCTTAAATGATTATTTTTGGCCAAAATAGCACACCTTTTTCATGCCTGTAGATGTAACTTAAAATATTTCAAATTATGTCAGGTAGACCAGACACTTTATCCAACAAGTTGGAGAATTTTTAACCAAGCTAAATGACTTTTTTGTAAAAATTTGTTTCAATTTATACAAACCAGATGTTATACGCGTGATAATGGAGTAATTAGATTAACTAAAATAAGCAGACGTGGAATATATTTAAGGTATTTCCGCACGGAAACTCGGAAACAACAAAGAAAACATACTGAAATTAATAATGGAAAGTACTCTCAAAAGTTTAAACAGAGAGCAAACTAAAATAATTTCTAAACAGTTTGCTCAACGTTATTGAAATTACTTCGTAATATGGGTTTTTCCTTTGAAATGCACCAAAGAATAGAACATTTAAGTTACGTTTCGATATTTACAATGAAGAAAGTTCGACGCCATTCGGACAGCAGAAAAGGTTTAAATAATAAAAGACCAAAGAAAGCAGCTAATTTCTGTACGTTTCTACCACAATGGCTGATAGACAAACTTGTCAATGAATAAATAGTTACTGTATCGATTGTACAAAAAATGTACTATTGTTTTACGTGTATATTATGGATAAAATAGTTTAGCCAAAATAAAGTTCCATATAAACAGTGTTCATGTGAACAAATGTTTAAATAAATTAATGATTTACAACACATTTTTAAATTACTAGAAAGACTACCGCTTAACATGCAGTCGGTAACTATCTTCATAATATTGTCAACGAGTGCGATGTCCTTGTGCACGGGTGTGGGGCGCTGTCATTGGATAATAAATATATTCTTCATAAAAAAAAATGTACATCGTTAATTTCTACTAACTACTAATAAGTGTTACATATGTAAAAATAGCAAAAAAAAAATATATATATATATGTATAATTTATAAACGTTACCTCATTGCTATTATGGTCGATACCGCATGATACATTTGATGTTTCCTTTTTTTTTTACATTTTTATTATCGAAGATTAAGTAAAGATTTTTTTTTTATTTGGCGAGAGCACACACCAAGCAGCCAAATAAAATAATGGAAAAAACACACAAAATATAATATGTTAGTAAAGCTGAATAATAATAAAATTAACTAAATTAGTAGAATACACGTAATATATATTTATTATATATATATAAGTATATTTTAAAACAGCAACACCAGCTAATTAACTTCTGACTCGAGTCTGCTCATACGTATTTGGGATGATATTATTTCGGTCGTTATCAAAATCGAGTATATTATACAATGTCTCATAATGATAGTTGCGTGGGCTTTTACTAATGGTTTAGCAGCAACCATTTCTGAAGGTTTAAAAACCAAACCTTTAGGAAAACAGAAAAATAATTTTACTTTTGAATGGAAAATTAAATATTTTCAAAGAAAGACGTAAAAAATGATCTGATTTTCGAAAAACACATTTTTCTCATTAAAATTTTTTTTAACTAAATAAGTATATTTTATTTTATCATGGTAATTAAAAAGTGTAGTTAAAATTTCGTATAATAATCAAGTTTTTTAAAAGTAAAATATTTTTGTTAATATTTATTTATTAAATATAAATATATAAATATAAATTTATTAAATATAAATATAATGATGACTATCTATTATATATTTAAACTTGGAGACAATATAAGTTATAGTCATTAAAAGTTATCTCCTTGTAAAAGTTAAAAATTTTAGATAAAAGTTTTTTTACCAGAACTCAGTTTGTGAAAGTTTGCAATATTTTTAGGAGTATTTAAAATATTATTAGTTTTTTAAAAATGTAATTTTGATAACAATGATCTATTTTCTTAAATTTATAAAAAAAAAGGGCGTCACAGGATAGCAATAAGAAAAATAGCACATAAGAGGTTTGCATAACACTCAGTTAAGTAATTCTATTGATCATTGTAAAATCGGAAAATTAATAATGTTTTTTTTTTTTAACAAACTGATAATAATTTTTCATTAAAATCTAGCTGAAATCAGTAAAATAAGGTTTATTTTTTGTAATTAAATATTCGACTCCATTACTGATTTTTCTACGTTCGAAAATAAAAAAAAAATAGGGAATAGTGTTAATAATTTACAAATATAATGATATTGGATGAACATTGTTAAATTTAAGCTTTTATATTATTATATGGAAGTCTTGTTCAAAAAAAAAAAATGACGTAACAGAACAAATGATATATTTTTTAACGAAAAATTAAAACCCTTTGTCTTTTAACAATTTCTTTATCAGCACCTAATATTAATAAAAAAATCTACTCAGTTTTTTTAATGTGGCAGTTGACTAATTATAACTATATAGAATATAATTATAATATTAAAAAAGAAACATCTTACTATGTAGTAATTATTTTTCTCAAATATTATTGATTTTTCATCTCACGCCTCGTCATAATTTGGGAATCCCTTAGACTTCATGGTTAAGCTACCTATTTGATGTATGAACATTTACCGACTTCATCCGGATTATTTTCACGTTTGCTATTAAACCGTATCTGATGTAATCCTAGTCGTGCACGAAGTATAAGTTTTCTATCGACCTTAGGCATTGTTTGTGTCTTTACTAACGCCGGAGGGTTTGAAACAACGACAATCTTTGCGAGCCAATAATAATTCGAGGGTTTTACTATTATGCGGTAACATCCGTCGTAAAGATACTCGGCATAAAAATCGATTGTGTTCTCAATAAACCACAAAAAGTACTTCACATAATAATAAGAGTCAAAAGTTTTTCGTTGCTAATACCACACTAGTAACAAAAAATGTACTATCTCAGTTATGAGTTCACATGAACAGGAAAAACATATCTACAAGTGTAAACATTGTTTCTCCCATTTTTTTAAATTTGAGAACTTTGTCTTAGAAAGCTCCAAGTTATCACTTTTGACCCTATTGAAAAAATAAGAATCTCTAAAATTAATAATTTTTTAATAATTTATTAATCACAACTTCGTGTTTATAATATTAAATTATTAATAAACCTTCAATCGGTTGAGTATTCTAATGGTCATAACAGTTATATTGTTTTAGGTTTTGAAATACAGTTTACTTGCACATCGACTAAAAAATTAATAGAAAAAATGTTTTCGACTGTGTTGTGCAATGGATTGATTTAAAGGGGAAGTGTAATAAATAATAAATGGCGCGATGGCGGTAGCGTGTTCGTAAACCAAACCAAACCCAACGAGAAAGGCAGCAACCCCTAAAACATTGTCGATCGTCAGCTGGGACACAATTTGAAACGTTAATGCTGCGTGGAATCTTCATCGATTCCTTTGTTCTAGTATCATCCATCTTATTGCACGAAAAAAAGTGCATACACCTACAATATTGTCAACACCATGTTGAGCTCGAATCTTAAGCTCATTAGCCGGTATTAGCTGTACTCTAATCTATACTAAACGTTAATCTATCAAGACGATATGCTTTATCTATACTATTATATTAGTTATAAATATATTAAGTACACAAATTGTAGAATACATGTAAATTTAACGTTGTGAGTCTGCCAAATGCAGAGTATCATCTCATCGGCCTTAAACGCTATTAAAATATTATCATATATACCTCCGCATACACTACTTCCATACGATAACCATTGGTAATGAATTCGATACGATAAATTATGAATAAAATATAAAGCTACTTCTTAGAAATACAAAAAGAAAACATTTGCTACTGTCTAAATGAATAAAATAATAAAATCATTACTCGGGCCCATGAGTTACTGTTATTTCTACGGTGGACGGGTTAGTTGAGTGTATAAAAATATCCATTTTAAAAAACGTAAAAGACATTAATAGTTGACCCGTAGATTTCTTCAGTGAAAGCATTTCGTTTGTGTAATATATTGAAAAAAATCCATATTGTCCGTATGTTTTAATATCGTAATTGTAGGTCATTATGAGCTATTGAAACTTTCTGACCATGTAAATAATTAATGATAGTTCTAAAAAGTATATACATGGTATCATAAAAATGAATTTCGCACACGTTTTCTTCATTTTTCATATTGTTTGTTTAGGTTATTAGCAACAAACCATAATGTGTTCCGATAGCAATTTTTTACTTCGGGAACTTAAATCACTTTGCTTCGATGACTAACTAAACGGACGATTCTTCCCGTACGATTAACATGAGTTACTGGAGCAGAATTAAGAAGCGACCAAATAAATCGTTTTAATAATGAATAACAGTAATTTAAAAAAAAAATATTGTCCATCGATTATTGGATAATGATGTTTTAGTTAGTCCACCGTAGACCGTAAATGTAAAGCACACCTATATGATATTATTTTATATTATTCAACGCTACTTTTTAAATTACACCTAAATGGTTAACTATATTAAACGGTGTCTGTACGTCTAACCTAAGTTAAAAATAAGTTTTAATTAACTGCGATTAATTATAAATAATTATAAAGTTCTCATATAGAAAACAATAGAATTATTTTAAGTTATAAAACGTGCCTACATTAATTACTTTCTAGTTATGTTGAAGATCTTTTTTTTTTAGTAAATAAACTCACTTTTCATCTTTTTGCGTCGTGTTGTTGTTGGTAGGTCCACTTGTGGTCTTAAGGCTTTTGATAGCCTTTAGCCATTTGGACTTCATGCTTCCACTGGACGAAGATGACAGTTTTCTGTCTCTGGCGTTCGACTCAGTCGCCTCTAATTTTGACGCGAATAGATCTTTCTGTGAATTAAAACAAATTATAACTCTGTTAATTCAAGAAAGAGTAATATCTATATAGGTTATTATAATTACTACGTTGAAAACTACAAGCAAATTATTACAATTAGTTATAGTGTGAACACTATATGAGTTAATTGTATAACTCACATTACGTTCTAAGCATAATTTAAAATTACATAATAATTGAACTACGATCAATTGTAACAAAATTAGTGCTCAATATAAAAACAATTTTTTCGTTTAACAAAGAAAATTAAAAAATTATATTAAATTTGAAATGAGCTATATAGGGGAGGTTTTACACACAAAACGAGGCATCGCGAAAAATGATGTTTTTGCGATGGAAAGGTTGAAGCCGTTGAAAAGCACGGAGTCAATAATATACAACCATTTTCAATGTAGAAGATACGTTCACTTAAAAAATGCATACATCCAAGTTAAAAATTGTTTTCAGGCATCAAAAACGAGTGGGCAAATTGACTTTTGATTTTTTTAAAAACATGTACTTTTTCTTAAAGCGCACTTAGTTTTATTATAGTTCCATTTGTACTTAACAACATAGTTAGCTTTTACTTTTTTGTTTTTTATAGCTAAATCGTTTTGACTCTATTGACGTCAGCAAACAGATGGGACTCGTTTACTGTAAAACACCTTTTGTGTATGTGAACCGTCACATTGAAACTGACCGGCCATCGTAACATTTTATATAAGTCCTGTCGCTACCATTAATTCGAGCCATTGGCCATCTTATAATAGGCCCATTAAATTTGCCTTACCGAGTAAGTAATCTAACTTTAAACCACAAAAAAACCTCTGAATTACGGTGAAAATACTCTTAGCTAAATGTATTAAGCACAACAAGTTCTTGGAATACAGTCGCATTTTCAGAAAACAATCCTTGGCTAATGGCGGAAAGTTTTTTTTACTTTTCACATAATAGTCCAAAAAGTTTTTTTGATTCAAAACAATGAGTTTTGTACTCAGCTACCGTACAATGTATGCGAATAGTTTTGAAATTGTACAAGTTTTTATTATTCAAATACTCTACAACTGACATCAATTTTGGTGGTATGTAGAATATGCAATTGAGTACACGAAACAACCAATAGGTATTTCAGCAAGTAATTAGGTCACGTAAATTTTAACCGCATTAAACGTCAATGAGCTATGTTATTGTTCGAATAATATAGTAACAAAAGGTATCTATATTTATTTTTAAAGGCAAATGTAACTGATAGTAATTAAAATACTTAGAATCAACTTATTTTATAGAATAACTTTTCAAAACTATTTAAAAATATGTAATAATTTAATGTTTTTTAATTTTTAAAAATTTTTTTATTCAATTAAGTGAATTAAATTTTTAAATAATACGTTGGATGAATTCGGAAATCAAATATTTACTCAATTATGTTTTTTAGAAACAGATTATTTTAATAAAAAAATTTCCCTGGTTAAAAAAAATTGTTATAAAAGATTCATTGATAAAAAATTTAAATTTAGTTAAAATAAAATAGGAAAACAATAGAAGTATTATTATAAATATATATCACTTACTCATAAACTATAAAATAATATAATTTTGATATATAATGGTGTATGAATTATTATTATATTAAATAAACTCTAAATTTACTTGTTCAAACTAAAAAAAAATCCAAAAAATGTACATGGATTGTTTAATTTATTCCGTTTTTTTATTTTCAATATATTAGATTTGATATTTTGACAGTTAGAGTAAAGTTCTCGATAAAAGAAATAATAGAATTGTATTAATTTCGCTATTATTCAAAATTACATTAGTTTTATATGATTTTAATTTAAACATTTTTTTATGTCCATTCATAAATCAAAATTCAAAACACAACTTTGGATAGCGTACTTAATGTATTCCAAATAGATACTCTTACTTTTAGGCTACCTTTGTCCAATTAGTAAATTCTATTAATATTCCATTCAAAATTAAATTTAAACATAATATTCAAAATGCCTTTTATGAATGTTAATCATTAAAATATATATATATATATTACACTTTTTTAAAGACAAAAACGATAAATGCTTTTCCATATAAATGATCTGATTCTAACATGACCTTTTATGGTTTACATGAAGGGAATTTTAAAACGTCTCTTAGTTATCAAAGTGCGTTTTCATAATTAAATAATATGTCAGTAGATGTACATTTATTTATTTCACGACACTGTATAGGTTGCAATGACAGTAAATGATTATTATGAGATTTATGAACACAGTATTAACTGAATTATGAATAATATATGTTATTTTTTTCAATACAATTGTTATATGTTTAATCACTAATGAAAAATACTACAAGTGCTAAACGTTAAAAGTTGTAATGTACATAGATAGCAATCGGAATAGAAGTTCTTAAACAAAATTAATCGGAAATAGATGTAAGGATTGGGAAACCGAGTATTAGGTTTATTTAAAAGATTTTATTCTGGAATCGTTTTAATAAAAGTACCATTAGATTTGAGGTCAATGTCATTTTGAGGAACAACTCGAACCATAATTTATTATTATTGTCTGCGAAAAAAAACTTTACCTTTTGGGACCTATTAAGCGTAAAGAGAATAATAGCTACTAGCATTATTGTACAAGAGGCTCTTTTAGCGAATTTAATTTTTTTAATTTGTCTCTATAAGAGTAATTGAATTAATTTTATACTTCAGAATTATTTAATATAAACATTTATGTACTAAACATAATAATATTGTATCAAGATTATAATTGTGTATTATAACTTTCAGAGATAAAAAAAAAATTAGTGTTAAATAAAGTCCAATTGAATAAAATACTATTTAAAAAATTTTAAAATTGAACCTCAATTTTAAATAAACACAAGTCTAAAAAAATATATAACACATGAAGTACAACAATGTCATAAATAGTGAAATACATACAGTGATGAATCAATATAGAATATAAGACCGAGGAGAAAATTAATCTGATAAAAATAGTATAATTTGTATAACTGTATATTAAGAACCAGTGGTGATCAAATAAATGTTATTAAAGTAGTGATACCGTATTACTTTTCTCAACAACTCTTCAGATATTGTCAATCTTTATATGATAACTACTATATAATACTACTACTACAATTTTCAGTCACGCACATACAGACTTATTTTTCAGTAATATTTGAAGTTTGGGAAGTTTTGAAAATTAAGGTCTTAATTGTTGTTTAGTTTAATAATTGTTAGAGCTATAATATTGTTAAAATGTAATGTCTACAATAAGAAAAAATCACGAGGGGGCTTTATAGTGGGCGTGCTTTATACTTTTAATGAGCGTATTGGCGTCATTGTGTAGTGACTTAAAAAGAAAGCTCGGCTAATTAATATGAATTTGTTATCCCGTAAAAAACAAGGATTAGTGGCCACAAGAGAAAACACCAACAAACATGTACTTAAACATACGCCTACAGTAATATTATCTTTATATAAATGTACAAAATATAAGTATACAACTTTTATTTTTTCCTTAAACTATATATTTAACGGTAATTTATGTTGATATGATTTTATAAATGTATAATTTTTAAAAATTATTTATATTTCTTTTCATATTGTTATTTGAATTTACATTCTATAAATTTTATTGTTAAATACTGTTGTAATAAATATTTAAACTTTGAAATAATTTATAAATAATTAATCTACTTAAAAACTATCAAACAACAAAAATCAATTGTAATTTAATGTGACTTTCCATATTTATAGAAAATAGGAATCACAAGGAAAAAAAACTGTCGTTTTCTTACCTAAAATTCAAAGGATTTCGATGATTAAATTAAGATAATAAAAGTAAAAGCATAATGTTTTTAATAACTATAATTAAAGATTTAAAACAAGACAAATTAAGATGAAACTATTGTTACATATTTTTTTGTTAAAAAAATATCACGACCAAAAAAAAAATAATAAAATAAAAGGTCTTTAATTAAAAAAGTGCTGATTCAGATTTAAAATGATGACTCGGCAAAATGTATGAAATATACGTTACCTAGAAAACTTGTGGGACTGCTTTTGAGTTTACTATAAGTCTACTATAAGTTTAAATAATTATTCATAATCTATTTATTTTAATATTATTATTATTTTAACATGTATGTTTTGACTGAAATTTGATTTAAATAAGATATTTAATTATTGAAAATTTAATTGTTTGAAAAGATTTTAGTAAAAACTTTTTACTATTTTTCTAAAGAGAGTACTAAACCATTTTTTTATTGCATCAATATTTGTCATAAATTAAATACTACCATTTACCAAATTATTAAATAAATGTATTGTAAAATAAACCAACAGACTCAAAATTAAAAATTTGTCTGTGGTTTTAGATAAAATAATACCTTTGAAAGTATTACATTACTAACATAAGTTCGTCTGTTAAACATTTTTCTTTGGAAAACTAATTTAAAAACTTTTAGTTCATTCAATAATGCTAAATGTGAGAGCAGAATATTTTTTACTTCAAGAAAACGTTTTTAGAGTAAGAACACTACAAGACTTTCAAATCTTATAGGTGACCTAAAAAACAAAAATGTCTAGTCATGACACGACCAAAACGTGTTTACATAATATTGTTTTCATATTGCAAATCGATTGAAAGCTTCGCGAAAATTGGCGCTTAGCTTTTTTTTTCTTTTATTGAATATCGTTTGACAGCTTGCGAAGGGATGAAATTCATACAAAACAGAGTTTCATTTATTAGAAAACGATAAGGGTTCGTACCTGTAGTACGTTGGAAGTTTAACAAACATTATTATGCACAAAAAGAAACAGCCTTCGTTCCCTGAATTTTGATAAGATTATTTGAATTGTAATAAATTAATTGTCATTCGAAATTCTATAATTTATTTAGCGAAGGGTTTCAAACATGATTTTATACATTATTTGTCTGTTGATATATTTATAAATAATTATTAAAAAAAAAATTACAGCAGATGTAAAGATTTTCTCATAGCAAAA